CCCCTTCTTCTTCCCCTTCTTCTTCCCCTTCTTCTTCCCCTTCTTCTTCCCCTTCTTCTTCCCCTTCTTCCCCCTTTCCCCCTCCCCCCCCCCAGGAGTGCAGCTGATAGAGACGTGCATGGCAACGAGGGCGGACAACGGCGGGCTCATCACGAGGAGCTGCGGCGTCTCGTGGCGGGCAAGCGCCGCATGCCTCTGGACGCGCTCTCACATGACGACTGCATGCGCGCGCTTGCTACCATCAAGGTGAGTCCGGTAGAGTCCCGTCTCGCCCTCGCTACCATCACACCATCCTGGATTTCCATCAAGGATTTGGCATGCCTCGAGTGTGACGACTGCATGCGCGCCCTCGCCACCATCAAGGTGTGACGGGACTCGGCGTGCCTCGAGTGTGTCGGGAAATCGGCATTGTTGCAACGGCCAGCTTGTGCAACTCCTGTGTTTCCACCTGGTCACAACCATCGCCCTCACCCCTGTAATCCAAACCATTCCACTGCTGCCCTTGTCATCCTTCCTCGACCTCACAACCACTGCCCTTGGCAGTCCCCAGGAGGAGGATTTGCAGTGGAAAGGGTGCGGGCGGCACATGTGGTGTGCTCGCTGCTTCTACCCCCCCTCCTGCACAACAAGCTCCTGTGCGTCCTCCCTTGTCTCCCTTGTCATCGGCAGTCCCTAGGAGGAGGGTTTGCGGTGGAGAAGGTGGGGGCGGCACACGTGGTGCGCTCACTGCCTCGCGAGCTCAGCACCGACCAGAACGACATCCTCCGCCTCGCGCAGGTGACGTGGCGCTGGTGACGTGGCGCAGGTGACGTGGCGCAGGTGGCACAGGTGAATAGGCCTTACATGCTAGACTCGGTTGTCTAGGCTCACGAGAATGGGCTCAGGTGAATGGGCTCAGGTGAATGGGCTCAGGTGAATTGGCTCAGGTGAATGGGCTCAGGTGAAATGGCGCAGCTGATTAGCTTCAGGTGTTTCGGAATGGTGAAGTTATTGGGTTGCTGAGTTGCTGAGTTGCTGAGTCGTTTATTTGTAGAGTTGTTTAGTTGGGTCATTGCAGTCAGTGTATTGTAGTTCAGACACTTCCTCCCTTGCGCCTGCATACCTAACTCCTTCCCTGCCCTGCCCTGCATGTGACAGGCGCGTAGGAGTGTGAGCATTGTGAACATTATCTCTTCCGTGTCATGGCAGCACGGCCGCAAGGCATTTATGCCCTTGTTTCTGCGAGCCTGACTACCTGCCCTGTCCTGCCCTGCATGTGACAGGCGCGTGGGTGTGTGACCGTCGCCGACATTCTCTCTGCCACGGCATGGCAGCACGGCCGAATCAACGATGCTCTTGACGCCCTGCTCAAGGTGACGTGCTGCTGCTGCATTCCGTGAATTACGGTAGCACTAGCTGCATCATACAAAGCGACTGACAGAGATGCGAGGCACTGAGAGCTGCATGTTTTGTGGTGTGAGCATCCTCTGATTCACTCACGCTCATACCATGATCGTGCACTGTAGCACCATAGTTGTGCACTGTAGCACCATGGTTGTAAATTATAGCATCATCTGCACTTGGACATGCACTACTAGCTTCCGTTTTTTCAGTTGCCTTCCTTTCCCTCTTCATCTTTTCGTCTTCCCCGTTTCCCTCTCCCCATGCTCTCCCGATTCTCTTCCCATTTTCTCCCAATCTCTCCCCCCCATGCTCTCCCCCCCCATCCAGGAGGGCATAGCCATGGTGGACGATGGCAGTCCCGATGGGCAACGGCGCTATTGGTTTCCATGCTTTGACATCGCAGCACCGGCATCTCTGTGATCAACGGGGCCTGCGTTTGGCCTTCCCTGCTTGCGTGCCATCAGGGAGAGGAAGGCGGGCCCTGTACATTCACCAAATACAGTGCAATCTGGATGTGAATGCTCCGATACACTACCTGTAAGGTCTCCATGTGACAAAACACTTCCTAATGTAATACATTTGATGAGACCGTACAGCGCTCAAACTTCCTGGGGTTCAAGTATAATCTGAACCAAGGCTGATGTTTCATAACAGTTGATGCCTAACAACCTGACAACATTCAGGGCATACAGGAGTTATGTTTGTGAAGGATTGTAAGGATTTTTCTCGCCATTCCTTACGGAGTCCGGCTACATCGCGTACAGCACCAGCCGTTGTTCGCCTGTTATAGCTAACAGGGCTTCGCCACCTTCGCGCGCACTGTTTTGCCAAACCACGCACTGCTGGCCCGGCCGTGTCGGCCTACGCTTCGGGGCTCGCCCGAACCTCGCTGCCAGCATCGCACTAGCTAGCTCGCACGCACCGCGTTACCGTTTGCATGTTTCGCGTATAAATGTTCGCTCATGCCTTCGCTCACATTTTGTACTCGTTTGACACCTTAGTGCAATCCTCGCTACCTCGATCCATTGCACCCGTAACACTTGGTATCAGAGCTTCTTTCCTTTTTCGGACCGCACATTTCCACACCCCAGGAAATCAACTTTTGATTTTTCACTCGAAGGGACTCACGCACCTTAGCCCCTAGGAGCCGATGTCTTCGCGTTCTCTCGTAAACGCGTGCAGCCACGACTGCGCCTAGACTAAGCCGAGCCGACGCCCTTCGCCATGGCCGAACACATCGATATCACCACTCTCATGCAGGAGTGTCTGAACGAACTGCTTCAGCAACTTCGCGAAAGCTCTGAGGAAATCGCGGCGCTGACGGCAGAACGCTCGTCCCTGCAAAACGACATTGCACGAGCACAATCTCAAGCACTTGGCACTCCGGCACAGCCCGAACCACAGGCATCACAACACAGAAGTGTGGGGCGACCCGCGAGCGCGGCTAGTGATGGCGTCGTCCGCCCTGACGGAGACGACGACCACGGCGCGACACACCCCGAAGCGACGAATGCGGCCCCAAGCCAACCCCGCGTCACGATTGCGGCACCGACCATCAACTCAGCACTGCCGTCACCGATGCCGCTGAAGCCGCAGCGTCCGCCATGCTTTGACCCGAGTCAACGGGGTGGTCCTACCGTTCAGGCGTGGTTGTTCACGATGAACGTTTTCTTCGACGCCAACTACGTCTCGGAGGATACGGCGAAGATTCGCTACGCCTCGTCACGAAGCCGAATGACTACGCGACTCTACCGACACGGGAAGGACAAACCGGACCCTGGGCGCCGTCGTATTTCGTGGAGGTGCCACGTGGGACGCGTGGTGCGCAGGTCTGCGCGCTCGATTCGAGCGAATTGTGGCTTCGATTGCGGCGCGACAGAGGCTCCGCACTTGGCGCCAGCTCGGTTCCGTCCAAGATTACACCAGCGGGTTTCTGGCGCTATGCGAGCAAGTGGGATACATGCACGAGAGCGAGCGCGTCGACCGCTACATCGGCGGCCTGAAGCACGACATCGCTCAGGAAATCCAGCTTCGCGGCGTCACCGATCTTCAAGAGATTCTCGCTATGGCGGAGAAGCTCGACTACTTTCGCCGACCGAGATCGGGGTCCTACGGAAATAGCAGCAGCTCGGGACATCGATCTCGTGGGACGAACGAGGGCGCTACGATACGTGCCGTCGCCGCGAATGCCGCTGCCGCACCGTTCAAAGGGCGCTGCTTCGCGTGCAATCGGCCGGGACACCGCAAGAGCGAATGCCCGGAAAACACTACGGGAAAGGGGGAAGCTGAGCAGCAGAAACAGACCAAGCAGCAGGGAAACGCTGGGAGTCAGTAGCAGACGACAGGTCACGCCGCTCGCCCGACCCAACCGACCCTCACCGAGTGATTGTGCCGGTTCGTGCAATCGACCACACTCGGCCGAATAAGGAGGGTACCGCGGTAGACAGCCCCATACTGCTTAGTGGGAAAATCGGGACGGACTTAGTTAAAATCTTCGTAGACGGGGGAGCCAGCCACAGCCTCATCAACACTGCCACGGCACGGAAGCTGAAACTGCCACTGGACAGATGCTTACCTGAGATCGATGCAAGACTGGTTGACAGCACGCCGCTGGCAATACGGGAACGCGTAGACCGGGTTCGGATTCGATGTGGGGGTTAATTTCACGTTTAGCCAGGAAATGCTCGCGACAACCCTCGACAGAACCGACATTTTACTCAGTCGTGATTGGTTGCGACGGCACAATCCGCGAATCGACTGGACGACGGGTGACTGCACCGTGCGAGTGAACGGTAACAACATCGCCTTACCTCGCTGGGGCTCGCCTGAGTCTTCGTCGGTGCGTGTCAACGCGATCACAATGAAACGCACCGTAGCGGCAGGAGCTGACGTGTATGCGGTTGACATTCGGGAAGCCGAGGCAGCAGACCAAGGAGGGGATTAACAGAAACTGCTTGCCGACGTACCGGATGACTTGGCAGCACTCCTGAAGCAGTATAGTGGGATTTTTCCAGACGACCTGCCAACGGGGCTGCCACCTCAGCGACCGCACGACCACAGGATAGAATTAGAACCGGAGGCACAGCCGACGGTACAGCGACAGTTCCGACTGGCCCAACCCGAACTGGACGAACCGAGGAAGCAGCTCGATTACCTGCTCGAGAAGATGGCCATTCGCCCTAGTTCGTCTCCCTTCGCAGCACCGATACTGTTCACACCGAAGAAAGACGGGGGGTTTCGCATGTGCATTGACTACAGAGCACTGAACAGGGTTACCATCAAGTCCCATTACCCCATCCCGCGAGCCGACGAACTGATCGACCAACTGCGCACCACCCGGGTCTTTTCGAAAATCGACCTTCGAGGAGGCTACCACCAAATTCGCGTCCATCCACCTGACTGCCCCAAGACCGCTTTCCGAACACGCTACGGATCCTACGAATACACGGTAATGCCTTTCGGACTGACCAACGCCCCCGCCACCTTCCAGCTGACGATGAACAAGGCATTCCGCCCGCTTTTAGATAAGTGCGTCATCGTCTACCTCGACGACATCCTCATTTACAGCCCCGACAGAGCACGGCACCTACAGGACATAGAAGCAGTTTTTCGAATACTGAGTGAGAACCGCCTACTGACGAAAGCCTCTAAGTGTGAGTTCCTACAGGACAGACTGGAGATTTTAGGCCACGTTATTTCAGCTGACGGGGTGGAAATAGACCCGAAGAAGATCGCGACGATTCAGGCTTGGCATGCGCCCACGAATCTGACTGAGCAGCAGAGTTTTTTGGGGTTCGTCAACTACGTGCGTCGGTTCGTCCCCGACATGGCGCAGCTGACCGCCCCGCTGACCGACCTGCTGAGGAAGGGGGTTGAGTACACGTGGGGGGGGGGAGAGCAAGCTGCCTTCTCAGCCCTCAAGCAAATTTTGTGCTCGCCGCCCGTGCTTCACATCGCAGATCCGCACCGACCGTTCGAGCTCGTCACCGACGCAAGTGACATCGCCGTGGGAGCAGTACTGTTGCAGGATTTCGGGAACGGCCTCCAGCCAATCGCGTACGAGTCCCGCAAGCTGCACCCGCCCGAGCGCAACTACCCGATACACGACCGCGAGATGCTGGCGATCGTGCACGCGTTCAAGGTTTGGCGGTGTTACCTGACTGGCGCCGACGTGACAGTACGGACAGACCACCGATCACTACAGTACCTCCGCGCCCAACCGAATCTCAATCGGCGTCAGATTCGCTGGTTGGACTACCTCGAGTTCAACTTCCATTACACGGTTACGTACAAAAAAGGCGCATCCAACATCGCCGACGCACTCACCCGCCCTACCGCCCAACTCCACGCCATCCTACTCGCCCAAACCAACCCGCTTTTGACAGGCCTATTCACCCACGGATACCGCACCGACCCATTTTTCACGACCGGAAATTCACAGCAACTGGCAGAAGCTAAGGGAGTCTATAACATAAAAACAGGCACCAACCGCATCTGGGTACCCGCGTACTCACTACTGAGGGAGCTGCTACTGCAGGAGGCACACGACGGAATTACCTCGGGACATTTTGGGGTAGAAAAAACGCGACAGCAACTGCAGCGGTATTACTACTGTCAAAGCATAAATGTGCTGTATGTTGGTAGGCCGTAGTGGGGTAGCCAATATGGGGTACAACCCTTTTAGGGTTTCTATTTTGTACCAAACTCATCCTTAGTTCATTCATTCCTGTCTCTAGTTTCTAACATGGTTTCAGAGCAGTAGGTCCGTAGGACCGTTTTTTTTTCGGGCCCACCTACCGCTACCCCACGACCGAGCCTGTGACTGTGACTGTGACTGTCACGCCTCCTGCCTCCTGTTTACAGTTGTCCCGCGCGTGTCGCCCTTCCAGCCCGCGCGCACCTTCTTGCACGCGCGTCGCCCTGCGCAGCCCGCAAAGAGCCCGCGCAGCCCGTGCCGAGTCGCGCGCAGTCCGCTGCAGCCGCGCGTAGCCCCTCCCGAGCCCGCGCAGCCCGCGCCGAGCCGCGCGCAGCCCGCTGCTGCCGCGCGCAGCCCGCGCCGAGCTTGCGCAGCCCGCGCCGCGCCGCGTGCAGCCCGCGCCGCGTGCAGCCCGCGCCGCGCCGCGTGCAGCCCGCTGCTGCCTAGCGCAGCCCGCGCGCGGCCCGTAGCAGCCCCGCGCGCTGCCCCGCGCAGCCCGCGCTGAGCCCGCACGGCCCGCGCAGCCCGCGCCGAGCCGCGCGCAGCCCGCTGCTGCCTCCCGCAGCCCGCCCCGAGCCCGCGCAACCCGCGCACGGTCTGCTGCTGCCCCGCGCACCGCTCGCGCAGACCCGCCCGGCGGCAGAAGCGGCCCCGACCTGCCACTGACCCGGCCCAGCCCTGCAGCTGCCTCTGCCCCGACCTGCCGCTTATACGGCCCCGCCCT